CCAACACCTAGAGCAGACTCACCAGCACCTAGAGCAGACTCACCAGCACCTAAAGCAGCAGCCGCTATACCAGGGTCGGGCGGCACACACAGGTAACAGTCACCCTGAGTACTAATAGTCAAAGCATACATGGCAGAGAGGATAGTGTCATAATCTAAAGCAAAGATATCCGCCTTGTTCCTAAGCAGCTCTAGCCAGCGGGGGAGCTCAGCCTCATCGCCAAACACTGCACGCCAGGCGTCGCTCAGACAGGCGAAGCAGCGAGCCTGCGTGTGACCAACTGTCCCGCAAGTCCGACCAGCCCGATCACCTGTGCGAATGACGTACGGGCAGCAGACAGTACTCCAAGTCTCCCCACTCTGAGCGTACCACTCACGAAGCTGCTGGGGCGTAAGGGTCTTGCGCGGACGCCGCTGCAGCTGCATCTGGCCACCTCCAGAAACTCTGCACTGACAGCTCCACCGCGACTGCTACTACGGCCGCCGCCACCACACCTACTGGCGTACCACTCATGAAGCTGCTGGGGCGTAAGGGTCTCGCGCGGACGCCGCTGCAGCTGCATTTGGCCACCGCCAGAAACTCCCCACCGAACAGCTCCATAGCGACTGCTACTACGACCGCCACCACTCCCACTGCTGCCACCACCGCCGTCACCACTCCCACCGCTACTACGAAGTGAAGCCATAGCAGGCAAGCAAGGAGGTGCGCGACGAGTAGGGCAGTACGGAGGGAAGGCAGTAGCACGAGCAGCAGCAGTAGCAGTAAGAGCAGCAGAGCGGCTCGGTAAGGCTAGGCTGCAGCACCTCCAGCACTCCTAGCAGCACCTCCACCAGCAGCAGCAGTAGCACGAGCAGCAGGGCGGATCGGGTTGGGCAGGGCGACGCGGCACGGCCTGGGTGGCGCGGGCAGCATAGGGCGACGCGACGGGCAGGAAAGGGGCGGCGCGCGGGCCCTAGGGCGACACGACAGGCAGGGCAGGGCGTCGCGCGGGCCCTAGGGCGACGCGACGGGCAGGGCAGGGCGTCGCGCGGGCCCTAGGGCGACGCGACGGGCAGGGCAGGGCGTCGCGCGGGCCCTAGGGCGACGCGACGGGCAGGGCATGGCGTCGCGCGGGCCCTAGGGCGACGCGACGGGCAGGGCAGGGCGTCGCGCGGGCCCTAGGGCGACGCGACGGGCAGGGCAGGGCGTCGCGCGGGCCCTAGGGCGACGCGACGGGCAGGGCAGGGCGTCGAGCGGGTCCTAGGGCGACGTGACGGGCAGGGCAGGGCGTCGAGCGGGTCCTAGGGCGACGCGCGGGTCCTAGGGCGACGCGACGGGTAGGGAAGGGCGTCGCGCGGGTCCTAGGGCGACGCGACGGGCAGAGCAGGGCGTCGCGCGGGTCCTAGGGCGGCGCGACGGGCAGGGAAGGGCGTCGCGCGGGTCCTAGGGCGACGCGACGGGCAGGGCAGGGCGTCGCGCGGGTCCTAGGGTGGCGCGACGGGCAGGGCAGGGCAGCAGCGACCAGCAGGGCGGCGCGACAGGCAGGGCAGGCAGGCGTGCGGCCAGTACGGCGGCGCGACGGGCAGGGCAGGGCGGCGCGGCAGCCAGCAGGGCGGTGCGCGGGCAGGGCAGGACGGCGCGGCACCCAGCAGGGCGGCGCGCGGGCAGGGCAGGACGGCGCGGCAGCCAGCAGGGCGGCGCGCGGGCAGGGCAGGACGGCGCGCAGCCAGCAGGGCGGCGCGTGGGCAGGGCAGGACGGCGCGGCAGCCAGCAGGGCAGCGCGCGGGCAGGGCAGGGCAGTGCGACTGGTGGGGCAGCGCGATGGGTAGGGTAGGGCGCTACGAACATGGTAACGCACTACAGGCAGGGAACTATTCGGTGGGCCCTTAAAAATAACGGTCCTAGAACAGGACCTGATCTGAAACCATGTCAGAAGACTAAGCGAGAATAAATGCATTGATAAAAAATGTGGTACAAGTACTAACCCTAATTGGGTTGTACCCCATATAGGCTACCCCACTACAGCCTACACAACATAAGCATCATTATAGTTTGACACGCGTCACCATTATCTGAGAATGAGACCGTATCATACTGGAAACCGGGTTAGACTTTATTCGCTCGAAGCCAATCCATTCCACGTACAAGGTTGACGCCTGCGAGAAAGGGTAGAACTTACGCGCAATTTTCTTCGCGGTAACCTTCAATCTCCATGTATATCCGTGTCCGCAGATTACCATACCTGGACAAGTCTTTAGGATGATGCTATTATCACTAAGGCGAATGAGGCAAGACGGTTCTTCAACGAGGATCGTGCGTGCAGTGGCCCACTTTTCGTCAAAGAGGGAAACGGTTGCACCTGTATCAATACGTATTTTTGCGTTTTCCCCATTCGTGCTACCCGCAAGCAACAAATTTGTTGACGCTTTGGGCGAATAGGACATGCCACCATTTTCGTCATAGGTTTGAAGTGTATTTCAAACCTATGACAAAAATGGTGGCATGTCCTATCCACGTTCTGACATTGCTTCACATGGATGTGATCGTCAGAACGTCAACAAGGGACATGATCAAGCTCCGCTTATTGGGTGACGGCGGCGCGGTACTTTACAATTTGGTTCCTATCATTTTAAAAGTTCACACACCGCGGGCGCATTCGTTCAAACTTCCGTTACTGTCGTTTCCAGGCGATTGGGTTCGAGCCAAGCCAGCAGCTTGTGTGTGTGGGTGTGCGTTTGTGTGTTATTTCTCTTTTTTTTTTTTTTTTTGGTTTCGGTTAGATTAAATCTAGACACCCCACTCTTAATTTGATTTCGAATGCATGTATACACTATAACTTCCATGCGTACTTGTTCGATCCACACCACACTGTAGCATATCGTGGACTCATGTTAGCTAGCACTACATAGGGGTTTTGTGGAGAACAAACAAGTGAACTCGCGGACACCATCTGAAAAAGCAATTCGAGAAGAGGACTTCTTCCCCTAATGTGCCTACCAGCTCGTCACCAACCAACCAAATGTCTGCCTTACCTTGCCATTTACCTCCTACATCTTACGACCACCTAGTTCCTAAGCAATTTTACTATTCCCTAGCACCAGTTTTGAATCTTATGTGCGCTTCGGTTAAATGGGGGGGGGGTTATGGTATGCTGCTGATTTGTGACATAAGCCAGAGTTTTTGCCGTTGGTGTCTGCCAATTGTGATAACGAGCACGAATTGCTCATGTTTGTCCGTAGAAGAGCGCGACGTGGCGCCAAGTAATGGTGCATCTGGCGCGTAAGTGGCTGATGTGACCTTCTGTGGCAGAGAGAAAGCGTGGTGGCATTGGAGAAAGCATGATGGCATCAAGGCGCGGTTGATTGATTGAATAGTTAGCGACGAGTTCACTTGTCGTTTATCGTATGCTATTCTTGACATTCTCTTTGTGACGTCTAACCAGGAGCATGTCCCCTCCCTTATCTACTCGATCGTCAAATCCATGCTCTCATGGCTCATTCCCATCCGTATCTCGCCTACGTGTGTCACGCGTGCGTTCTGTGTGTCACGCGTGGACCATTCGGACAATGTTCATTGCGGCAAGTTTTAGGCATCTACAATATTCCACAAATTATATACATATATGTCTTAATATGTACATATTCATATGTTTCTCCCTTGTCTCGCAGTTTTGCGGCTCCCCGGAGGCTACGCGGAGCAGCAGCGGCGCACCATGTGTGCGATATGTGGCGCGCACCACCGTTGACGTACACACCGCGCGTAGGAGGCGATGGAAAAACAGGGGCACACCAGACCACGTGATGGCCGACATTACTGCCCTGCGCCACCACGATGCCGCGCTCACCCACTCGCGCCAGAGTAAGAGGAAATCGAGGAAAACAGCAACAACAAAAAAACAAGATCAGATTAGGAAATTAGAACAAGGATCATACAAATAAGTAAAATAACTGTAAGTCATGAACCAATGTGTAAGCAATATGTTTGCTGACGTAGCCGTTTGGTTTCTTATTTATTATATTTTCAAGTTTTGTATTTTTAACAGATTTGTTTGTTTGTTTCTTTGTTTTTTTTTGTTTTTGTTTTTCTTGCTCTGGTCCACACTCACCTCATCTATGCCTAACTGTTTGCCCAAACCAGCCAGATCAACAGACTGAGTTTTTAAGCTGTCTGAGCCATAAACCTCAATTTAGGAAGAGAACACATGAAAATACATAATATCCAATAATTCTTAAACCATTTTCACCAGAGATCCTGAGTTGGTTGACTACTGTTATTGGTAAAAGAGTCAGCCCCATTCTAGGGTGAGCGAAGAAGCAACTTGTGTTACCTAAGCTGTTTGCCAGCCTAGCCATTTGTTTGTTGTGTGTATCACATTTTTTTCATGTTCTGTGTTTTTAGTAAAATTTTTATTATAATATTTTTTTCTTTCTGTTTTGTTTTTACTGGTCAACACTCGCATCATCTTTGCCTGGCTATTTGCTGGCCTAGCTAACTAGCTGAGCCAGTTTGGCGAAATCAGCTGGCTCAACTGACTGACTAGTTGAGCTTGCTGAGGCAGTTTGGCCAAATCCGCTAGAGAATGAGTAGCTGGGCTAGCTGAACCAGTTTGGCCACATCAGCCAACTCAGCTGACTAAGTAGTCGAGCTGGTTGAGCCACTTTGGCCAAACCAGCCAGCTCACCTGATTGACCAACTAAGCTGGCGGAGCCAGTTTGGCCACATAAATCAACTCAGCTGGCTAATTAGCCGAGCTCGCTCAGCCAGTTCGGCTAGTTTGGCCAATTAAGCCAGCTCAGCTCGCTAAGCCAGTTTGGGCATGCCGTTTTTTTTTTTTTTTTTTTTTTTTCCTCAGTTTCCTCTCTCACCTCATCTCTGCCCCCCACTCTTCCCTTTTCCCTTCCTTAACATCCATCTTACCCCCCCTTTTCTCCGTCCCTGCCCTGCCCTTCGTCCCCTGTCCCTCTTCCCTTCGTGTCCATGCTCTCTTCTTGCACGCTGCAGCAGTGATGGCGGTGCGAGGATTACGCGCCCCCCTCCCCACGCCGCGCCGCGCTTACCCGCCCGCCGCCCCTCCCCGGCGGGGCCCCGGCCTCCGCGGGCGGGCGGCGGGCCGCGCCCCCCACCCCGCGCCGCGCCGCGCCCACCCGCGCGCCGCCCCTCCCCGGCGCGGCCCCGGCCTCCGCGTGCGGGCGGCGGGCCGCGCCCCCCTCCCCGCGCCGCGCCGCGCCCACCCGCGCGCCGCCCCTCCCCGGCGCGGCCCCGGCCTCCGCGGGCGGGCGGCGGGCCGCGCCCCCCTCCCCGCGCCGCGCCGCGCCCACCCGCCCGCCGCCCCTCCCCGGCGCGGCCCCGGCCTCCGCGGGCGGGCGGCGGGCGCGCCACACCTGCCCGCACGCCTTCCTTCCATGACCTTTCAGTTCTTCAAAAGTCTTCCATTTTTCCGACTAAGTACTTTTTTCACTTTTATCGATTTATTTGTTCATCCGTTTTTATTGTTTGTTTCCCAGCCTAAATTTTGCCCGTGGAGCTCCCCGTCTCTTCCCCTAAGTTTGCGTAAGTGCTTGTTATGTCTTTTTGGTGGCAGCGTTGCCAAGTCATGCATAGAGTCGCTCGTTTGACTGAGCTTTACGGCGCGGCTAATCTGGCTGAAATACGCCCCCACACATATCTAATGCTCTATCGTATTTTACTCTCCCACACAGATCTAATGCTCTACCGTATTTTATTCGTTTATCACATCATTTTTTCACTATAAACGTAAAACACAAGGCCTAAAACACAAGTTTGAAAAGTGAGATAGACCGGAGTGATGTTCGTCAGATATGCGACATAGGAACTTAAGCCCCCTCACGGGTCCGACGCGCCCGGGCTCGCATTGATGCATGGTTTAATTATTTGTGCTTTCGTATACGCGACTCGGAATCTTGTGATAAGCTTGCTAACAAAGACCATTGTCGAGATGTAGGGGGACCTGTGTGAGTCCTAGCCTCACTGTTGGATGCAATACTTATTTTGCACGTCAACCTGTCGCCTATTCGTCGAGCAAGGTGAAATTTGAGGGATTGCATTTTAAGGTAATTTGTGTTTTGAGTGATGCGCATTTGTGTGCTTTTTATTTTGGCGTTTACCGTCTGTGAATCGCCTCAGCGGTTCTTAAGTTATGTGCATTTTAGTGAGAGGTTGCATTCATGCGTTTTCATGATTGTTCGAGTGTGTTTCGTGTTATTCGTGTTGTGTCATGAATGTGCGTGATGTTCTGAGTGATCATGTGTACTCATGAGCCTTCGCGTGTTCATGAATGTTCGCGTGCTGTTCGTGCAAGCTTCGTGAGCGTTCATGTGTTTTCGTGTTCGTTCATGTTCGTTCATGACTGTTAATGTCTTGTTCATGTTTTTGTCATGAGCTTTCGTATGTCTTTCATGAGTGCTCACGGTGAATGGCGAGTGTTTTTCCTGGGAGATATTTTCGCGTTGGTCAAGGTTGAAAAGGGCGCGAGAATCTGGACCGTGCGTGTGGCCCAGATCTCGCGTGTGGCCCCACATGGGCCGCGCGTGTGCTTCGCCACTGTTGCGAGCGTGGCAGGAACCACGATTGCAACAGAACAGGGCGATAATGATCGCCCTGCCCACGTCAGGACGGCGCGCCCTCAGGGGTGCGTGTGGGTTGCGAGGGGTGCCGAGAGATCCCGAGGGGTGCTCGGGATTCACTCGAGATTTCAGTTGTAAAACTGAATCTCGAGCGCGTCTTTTTGTGACATGGCGAAATAGTGAAATTCGCCATTTAAGTCGCGCGTGTAACGCGACTGTTTCTTACAGGTACAAAACGGTGAAAACCGTTTTACAACTGTAAAGCTTGTCAGAGGTCCACTGGTGATCCCCGATTGATCCTAGGGAAGGGTTACAGGCACGTTGGCCTGGGGGTTATGGGCGCACTGACCCGCTACTTTAACAAGCCCTTTTATCCCAATGGTCTAGTGGTTGGGATTCTGACATGGTATCAGAGCGAAGGTCTCGGGTTCGAATCCCGGTGTATGCACTTCGGGCATCCCAGTGCGGGGGGGTGTCAGAGGTCCACTGGTGATCCCCGATTGATCATAGGGAAGGGTTACAGGCACGTTGGCCTGGGGGGTTATGGGCGCACGGACCCGCTACTTAAACAAGCCCTTTTATCCCAATGGTCTAGTGGTTGGGATTCTGACAAAGCTTGGGGAAACGGAATTCCCACACGAGCGTTCATGATTATACAGAGTTCATGATCGCTCGCTAGAGGAGTCAGCAGGAGCATTTGGCAAACATGGAAATTGAAGGCAGTTATTTGAAGAACTCGGATGAAGCCAAATTCAAGAGGAGTTTGACAACCGTTTTCCAAGACAACATGGCGAAGTCCGAATTACAGTTTTATAACTGCTTGATGTTTGCCTTTGCTAGTGCGTAGTGATTTCTATATATGCGTGCTTGTGCTTGGTTGTAATCAACACTTTGTGAATGAAAATTGCTCTATCAACGTATTGACGTGAAGAGCTGATTCTGCATACGAGCCAATTCGTCGTCAGCGCTGCGCATAGTACGTCCCTCGACAAACACGGACCCTTGGTTAGGGGCTGGCTTTTCCAGGCACCCGAGGACCCTTTGGAGGTGACCCCGTGGAGACTAACTAGTGTGTATTAAAGGCGTGCTTAGAGCTTCTAGATCCCATATAATAGTCAACACCCACTTGATTAATTCGAACATGTGTTGAAGTGATGAGTGGTTTTGTGTGATGAACCATAAATCCGTGAGGTCTTAAACATTTGGGTGCGGTAACAGTGTTTTTCGCAATGGAATCAACAGGTTTACGATCCACGCTAGTAACACATGCATCGTCACAAGCGACCTCGATATGTGTTGGATTAACTCGAATGCAGAGATGCAGATACCCTCTTGCCACTAGTGCAGATAGTGCGTAGACAAATTTAACATTACTGGTGGTGTAGTTTATAGTTACTTTGTTTGTTCTCTGTATGAGAACTGATACAATGATGTCTGTGCGAATTGGTGTGAACACATGCGCTCCCTGCATCATCCTTAAAATGTGGCAACACGAAAATTTATTTTGACCTCACATAGAGCGAGTGTTTGATGTGCGATTTGGGTTGGCAGCACATCCCACATAGGCCACATTGGCTTCTGACCAGAAGACATGGCCGATTCCTATTGTAAAGGGTTTCGGGTTGAAGTTGAGTGGTGTTTTAAAAGCATAAAATGGTTGGGTAAGATTTTTGGCGAGGTCGTACATTCACCAACCATTTCTTATAGCATCAGCAGATTACTACAACGCTCAGAGTCATAAGTCTCAAACCTTATGGTGCTGTATTCTAAAAGCTTCCTTATATGTTTGTCATCATGGCGTCCAATGAGCGTACTTACGTTGGGAAGTGCACGCTAGAAACGCTGCTTAAGTGTGAGCCCGTTGGCTGCGCGGCGGCAATGTAACTGAAATACACTGAGTAGCACTATTTGAGCGACTTCCCTTGTGAGAAACGGACAACAATGGGGCTTATGGAGGGCATCAGCAGGAGGTTCTAGCCTTCTCCAGCAGAAGGTGCAGCGTTCGCCGTAGTTGCGAGAAGGCGATTGCGGAGTATCGCTCGATTCGACGGATATGTGAAGCCAGCGTTTCTGTGGTTTGATATGATGTTGATCAACTCCGCATTTCACGACAAGCGTAATAGTGAAGCTTTTTGTGCGGATTGTCACCGGTTCTTGGCAGCCATTGTGACTATAAGAAAGATCAACCCTCGGGCTGAAGGATGGAGCGATCTCCTTTGTCCTCGTCGAAAGCTTGACTACCGCAAGTTGCGCCTGCCATGGACCCATTCTATGGATTATGTAGTAAGTCCGGCGCTGGTTCATCCCAATTGTGAGTTGTAATGCATACTGAACCAACCGCGTCTTATTACTACAGGTCAAAGGTGGTCTTTACGACAAGCCTGGTTCATCCCAATTGTGAGTTGTAATGCATACTGAACCAACCGCGTCTTATTACTACAGGTCAAAGGTGGTCTTTACGACAAGCCTAGCGCGCTCGACATGACGAATGTTTATGACAAGAAAACCCGACCTCTGCGTGAGGCCTTGGTCGTGTCCAATAATCACACCCCCCTCTCTCTCTGATTCCTGCAGGCATAATCACAACCCCCCTCCCTCGCTGCTTCCTGCAAGTTATAATCACACCCCCACTCCCTCTCTAATTCCTGCAGGTCATAATCACACCCCACTCTCTCTCAGATCGTGCAGGTCATAATCACAACCCCCCTTTCTCTCTGGTTTCTGCAGGTCATAATCACACCCCCGCTCCCTCTCTGATTCCTCGAGGTCATAATCACCACCCCCCTCTCTCTCTCTGTAGGTCATAATCACACCCCCCACTTGATCTGCTTCCTGCAGGTCATAATAACACCCCCAATCCCTCTCTGATTTCTGCAGGTCATGATCTCACCCCCCTCTCTCTCAAATTTTTGTAAGCATAATTTCACACCCCCCTCTCTCTCAAATTCTTGCAAGCATAATCACACACCCCCTCTTTCTCTGATTCATGCGTTGCATGATTACACCCCCACTCCCTCTGTAATTTATGCAGGTCATAATCACTTCCCCCATCTCGGGTTGATATCTACTGGCTAGATACCCACCCCCCCTACTCCCTCTGATTCATGCAGGCTACACATACCCAGGCTCTTCCTCTACTTTTCTGCAGGCATACTCACACCCCCCTTCTCTTTCTGGTTCTTATAGGTCATAAACACAACCCCTTCTCTCTCTGATTCATGCAGGTCATTACTACAACCCCCCCTTTCTCTCAGATTCCTACAGGTCATAACCACAAACCCTCTTCTCTCCGATTCCGGCAAGTCATAATCACACCCCCACTCAACTCCCTCGACCCTCTGGTCAGTAATCATTCCGTTTCAATCATTCTCAGCCCCCGATCCTCTCTCTCTCCCCCCCCCCCGGTGCCTCTTACAAAAACTGGTCTATGATGCCATCATCAAGCTATACTATAAAACACCAACACGTCGCAAGCCTTCGTTAAATGCATGACAATGTGCACCAAAGAAACAAGGTTTCAGGTTCACATTGTGCTGCGGAATGATACTCAACGGAGCAAGTTTCTAACCCAAAAGATGGCACATGTGCGCGCGGACGTGATGGATCATCTTCATATGGTTTGGTCTACCTTTTACGCTCCCCCGCTCATCACACGCTCAACGGCCTCCAGTCCGCGGCAAGGCCACCGAATTCGAAAGCTTCCTGCAAAAGTACCCCAAAGGTGAGGCCGAAATATATAGATGCACCTTTACGCGCCCAGTAAACTATTCTGACCTTCCCTCCCGCCACTTTGTTGCAGACGTGGAGAGTTTTAACCTCCACAACTGGTTTTGCGCGCCAGAGGCCGGCGACATCCTATTTGCACACCTTGCATTCGAGTCGGGAATCGCTATATCACTCTTCATACGTGATGCTATCCTGACTTTTGAGTAAGTCGCAACACGTAAGCCCCTAGATCCAGAGGGGGTTGCAGCATGCTGTAGTGCCCTAGATCCAAGGGGGTTACAGCATGCTGTAGTGCCGCTTCCACACTTCAATCCCTCATACTTATGCACTTGGTTCCTTTTGTTTGAGCACCACATTCTCAACAAATGCAAGGACCTGGAGCACAGTGCCGCCATCAACAGAAGGCTGACTGCAGAGTACGTCAAGAAGGTCATAGCATTGTGCAAGGCTACCATCATGGATCCCTTAGTCAAAGACAATGGTCCTAGGTACAATGCGATCGAGAAGGCGTGGGCATTTTTTCGCAGTGGAAAGCTCCGAATCTCGACTGACGGGATCGAAGA